CTCCACGAGGAGCGGGTCGGCATCGCTGTGGAGCAGCCGAGCCTCTTGGAGGAGGACTTAGAGTCAGGCAGCCGGTCCCAGGCACCGGGCAGCACACTGAAGCGTCATGCTGTCACACTTCTCTCCAAATTCCGTGCTTGATGAAATCCGAAGAAATCTTCATACCATGGTGCTTTCAACCAAATTATGTCAAAATATTCTTTCTCACCACTCACTTCCCTTTTCTGCACTTGAAGCAGCAGCCCGCCGATCATCGGGGGCTTGGTTTGCCATCAGAGATTGTCAGTGGTCATCTGAAGGCTTTGTTGGCTGTCAGAGGGCTCCACTGATCATCAGAGATCGTGTGTCCCTTCCACGCCCCCCTCTGTGTCTCTCTATGTCACTTCTGCTGTGTGCTTTCCATGTTGCTTTCCATGTTGCTTCCCAGTGGCCCCGTGGTGGTTTCTGGTATCCCCAAAGCCACCTCAAGCACACCAAGGGGTCCCGGGGTCCCCGTGGCAGAGCTCCTGGCATCCTCGTTGTTGGTTCCAGGATGCTCAAAGCCACCATGACCCCACAAGGGGATTCTGGGCTCCCCGTGGGGGTCCTGGTATCACCAAGGCCATGGTGACCATGTACCCGTCACCTCCTGTGCGCATCACCACGTGTCCCCTTGATGCCACCATGTCCCCTCCTGAAATGGCAGGAGATTGGAGACCCCCAGACCCAGCAGGGAGGTGACAGGGTTCACCCCCAGCCCCCTGCCACAGAACCACGCAGTGTGGTTCTGGAGCAGTCCTGTTGCATCCTGCCACAGAGCAGGGGCTCCTGGAGTCACTGAGGGGACACTGAGGTGTCTCGAGGGGTTGCTGGGGGGGCAAGATGGAAGGGGTGGAGCCAGAGCTCCAGGCTGAAGGTCTCTGGGAGGTGACTGCAAACCCGGGGATCCAACCCCTATGGAGTCCCCTCACATTACCCCAGGACCTCTCAACCCCTCCAAAATCCCTCAGTGCCAATGGGAACTCCAGCCTCAACGGGACTCCCCATTTCTTCCCAAATATAATAAAGCCCCTGGAAGAAAGACAGGACCCCAGGGAATGCACACACCTCCCAGCCCTTTCTAGGACTCTCCCCATTGAAACAGGAGCCCAGAGAGCCCCACAACCCAACGGGACCCCCAGCCACAATGGGACTCCCCAGTCCTTCCAAGACCAGTAAGATCCCCTCCAACAAATCGTATAGGAGACCCTGGGCCGCCCTCAGTGTCCCCCTTTGTTCCCTCCCCAGTCGCTCTGGGTTCCCAGTGCAGAAGTCATCGCTGAAAAATCACAGTTGTGTGTCTGCATCTGCAACTTCGGCTGGAAGTCCTAGGGCTTTCTCACACCTCAATTATAAAGGAAACAAAAGCAGGAAAAAGACACTGCAAGTTGAGTGGTGCTGAGGCAGCAATGACTGAAAAGGCAGAGCCCTGTACAGCATCCCCCAGGGAGGGACGCCTGGCAAGAAATCAAATACCTGCATCTCGCTCTGCAGGTCATCAACGCAGTGACTCGTCATGCTAGAAAGGGGTGGGGAAAGGGGGACAAGTTGTTTTCCCCCCACCCACAGTAGAAGACAGTAACTTTGGCTAAAATAAAATTTGAGAGTCCTCCGCGTAGAAAGAATTTTGTCTCTTTTAATTAGGGATTTGGACAAATTTGAAGAAATTTGAAGGAGAAGGGGAAAGGAAATGGGGACATCATCCTCCAAGGGAGAAGCAGGACAGCGCAGGGCAGGCAGCGGATTCCCGAGATGGCTGTGCATAAATAAACGGCAACCGCCGGCTTCTCAGTTCTCCGCTCACGCACGCTCACAGGGTGAGCTGCACCCCGCAGCTGTCAGGGCCGGGCAATGAAGAACAGCACGTCGCAGATAACCTGGGAGACCAAGGAATCCACTGCGGGCGACACGGAGATGTCCAACAGCCGTGACTTGTGCAGCGTGAACTGTGAGCGGCTCTCGCCCGCCTCAGCCAGGGCGAGCAGCGCCCGAGCCGCTCGGCGCATCATGTCCATGCTCGGCGGCTCGCAGGGCGCGTTCTGCTCGGGCACCGGGCCGGCCTGGCTCTGCTGGCACCGCGCGGCGGCCAGGCCGTCCTCCAAGAAGCCCAGCAAGTCGCCGACGCTCCTCTCCTGCGAGGCAATCGCCCTCGCTGCCAGGCTGTCCCCCTGTGCCAAGGCGGCCAGTAGGACCACCGCCATCTCTCGGCACACCGGGCTCTCTTTGTTGCAGAGGAAATGCAGCAGGGTGCTGTACAGCATCTCCAAGCGGCTGGTGGGGGGAGCTGCGAGGATCAAATCCACGTTGGTGTCCCGGGTGCTCAGTTTGCTGAGCGTTTCCAATGCCAGGCTCCGAGGGGAGAGGACGGCATTCGACCCCAGCGCTGGAAAAGGGTCCTGGGCCTCTGCTGATGGACACACTGCCCAGTGGAGGAGTCCGTCCAGGATGGGCAAGCAGAGGCTTTCTGGGAGAGGGGACAGGTCCAGCTGGGCAGAAATGTTGGCCAGCGTCACCAGTGTGTTCTCACGCAGTTCCTGCAGGCAGTCCCACCACCACTCCTCCTGGCCGCAGCTCAGCCCCTGGTCCTGCTCGAGCTCCTCTCTCTCCGAGCTCAGGGCTGCCTGCTTGCGCTCTGGGTGCTCATGGTGTAAGAGCAGCAGTTTCCCCAGGATCAGCAGCAGCCCAGCGTGTTTGCACATCTCGGTGTCATTGCCCGGCACAAACGACAAGCTCCTGATGATGTTGGAGACACAGATGCAGCGCTTCGCCAGAGAGCCCTGCCAGTCGTGGGTGAGGCAGAGTGGGGCCTCGTCTCTGCTGCGAGGCTCATCCTCCAGAATTGCTGAGGAGCTGTCAGATGGAGGAGCCTGCCCTTCCTGAGCATTTCCATTGCTCTCAGCCGCGGAGCGCTCTCTCTTGCTCTCAAAGTGGGTCTGGATGTGCTCAGTGGTATCTCCGCCGCCAAGCTGCCAGAGCAGGTGGGCGCCCTCCAACCCACAGAGTGATCTTTGCCCTGGGCAAATACCCACCTCGTATTCCTCCAGGATTCCAAAGACCTCGATCAGGCAGCGCCGGAAATATTCCACCAGGACTTCCAGCAGGCCTGGAAGCTATGGGGGAGGAGAAAAACGGGAGGGGAAGGAAGGAAAGATGGATCAGTGACCACAAAATAACTGAGGTTGCTGTGAGCAATTGGACAACCTCTGCATAAAGGGCAGAGATCTTGAGGAGCCGCTTATTAATGGAATCTTTTCATTCTGGCAATAAGCTCTTTGCAAAAGAGAGCTTTCTGTCCGCTTGGAACAGAAACAAGGGTCCCTGAATGTCAGCATCCAGCCAGCTCGTACCTGTGTAAACACGCACGCTCTCGGTTTTTGTCTCCTCTCTGAGTAACGCTCAGGAGAGAGGCAATGCTAAGCAGAGCAGCCTCTAAAGTATAGTGGAACAGTTTTTACAACAGCGTTGTAGGCACGAGGCAAATCATGGAGACAGGCTGCCCCTTCTAGAGGCACCCAAGCCACGCTGCACGCTGACCCGTGCGAAAAGACAGAGCTGTTGCACCAGGAGAGGTGAGCAGCCTTCAGCCCTTCACAGCGCTCTGCTGCAAAGCCACTCTTGGCCTCCCCACCACGGTTCCCTTTCTGCTTTAGAGGCGACACGTCCCACCAGAGAGGAGAGACCACGTGCTTGCACACCAACCACATGGAAATCCACAGCTCAACGATCACTCGGTGCTGAGCATCTGCACCCACCTGCCTGAGGTCAAAGGACGCGACGCTGCTGTCGTCGTGGAGCAGGACAGTTATGGTGTCTAAGGCCCACGTGCTTTCAGCGAGCAGCCCAGACTTCAGAGACATCATCACCTTCCAGGCTGCAGGAGCTCCTGGAACACAAACACGTCATACTTCCAGACCCTGGACTTCAAAAGCGAAAAGCAGGGACTGGATACTGCTTTTTTGTCTCACACAGAGCACAGCCTGCTTAAGGTGTTGCACAGACTCCCTGCAAAAGCAGTCTCCACACAGACAGTGCCCAACACAAACGTTATACCCAGTCCTTCTGGGTCCCTTCACCCTTGCGTTATCACAGAACGACAGAACGTCCCAACTAACTTGGCAAAGGAGACCTCTTGCAGAGCTGGCAGAGCCCTTCCAATTGGCAGCACTGTACCAAAGGGGGATGGCAACACCCAGCCTCTCGATGGGCGCAGGCAGAAAAGCAGGAGTTTCCTCTTACCAACATCTGCTGCTGTCAGCCGCCTCCTTTTCTGTAACACTGGCTTGGCAGCTTCCACCGATCCCGGAGGGAAGGAGGCGGCCCGTCGCTTCCTGGCAGGCCATTCCGCTGCCGGTGCCACGTGCGTGGCGGGGATCGGCGGTCCTGCCTTCTTTCCCCTCCCTGGCTGCAGGGATGCAGATTTGCTGGAAGCGGTGCGATTCTCCAGAGCTCTGGGCTGCTGCTGCAGCTGCCCCTGCCCGGCGCTGCATGGGACGCTGTGCATCCCCGCTTTGAGCCGCTTGGCAGGTGGGGTGCAGCTGCTGTCCATTGGTCGCCTGGGATTCTAGATGGAAAGTAAAGCCATCAGCAACATGAGGTCATCAAGCCAGAAACGGGCAACACAGACTCAGTGGGGAGAAACGCTCAGCACCAGAGGACACTTCCTCTCGGGCTCACCACCCAGCTCACAGGGTTCAGTGTTCTCGCTGGCCGTAGCAGAGGAACTGGACTGATGGAAGGAAACACATCAGGACTGAGGAGCACAAAAACACCTGGATCACATCCCAGATGGCTTCAAAGAGCAGTCAGACCTCAAGGTTCTGCTGTCATATTCAGATCAGCTTTCTGCCAGACCCACACTTGTCTCAGATCAGGTCCATGTCAGTTTAAAAGCCAACTACGACTCAACAAAGGTACCAGGGAACCAGCTGCTACTCGCAGAACATGCATTTCTAAAAAGGAAAAGCTTTCACCAAGAAAACCTCACAGAGACGTTGCAGAGCCACCTCTTTGAGAGACCTCCTGTGGCCTCATTTGCTCCATACGTCAGGAAACGCCTCAGCCAGCTGCAGATGGCATTCCCCAGGGCTGCAGCACGACGTAGATTTTGGCACAGTCTCTACTTTTCTGAGACCACGTCTGATTTGAGCAACAGTCTCATTAGCTATGGACTGCATTTGGAGACTGGGAGAGACCGACCGACCCACCAGGAGCATCTGGACCGGTCCATTCGCTCCAACTAATAACGGCAAGGCGGGCCCAGCGTTGACTTGGGGACAAATCGATCTCTGCAGAGGGATGGGGAGGACAGTACTGCATCCCGGCTGCTCACACCTGGCAGGAGATGCCAGCATATGCCACTCTCCAAAAGAGAAAACATCCCAACAGACGATATCCCACTCACTGGCCGCGCTGCTGATGTAACACTGTGCTCACACGGAGCAGCAAGATCACATCCTGCACAAACAGCCACGCTAATGGCAGCTCTGCTCACAGTAGAAGTCACATTGGGTTTCTCTCGGGCGCTGCACTCACTACTAGATACATACACTGTGTCATTTACAAACTAACAAACAAACAGAAGTTTTACCTTTGACTGGAGTTCTGCTTTTTGGGTCTCTTCTCCCTTCTTTCTTCTTTTAGTTGCAGGAGTTAATTTGACATCCGCCAGACCCATCACTTCAGGACTTGCTGCCACCCCTAGGAAGTCACAGGAATTTGTGACATTGCTTTTCATTCCATGCCGTGAAGTCTTCAAAGCCCAGCACTCAGCCCAGCCTTACCTGCAGAGCCGTTAGCCATGTTCCCACCCATGGGATAAGGTGGGCCCTGGCAGTTGATCACACCAGCCATGCTGTTAGTTCCCTGTCCGTAAGGAGGTCCAGTGCCCAGCATTCCCCCTTGGTTCATACTGGGATAACCGGGTGGCCTGGAGAAGGCAAGGAAAAAACAGGCGTTCACTCCAAATAAAGATGCTTTGATTGGTGTTTGGGCCTCTTCTGTTACCAGTGAAGGGAGAGGAAAAAGCCTTCCAGAAGGCAAATCTTTAAGGAAGTGTACGTTGACTATCACCCCAGCTTTGGGCTACTGCAGCCATGGCTTTCAAAGCCAGCTACGACAGAGGAAATGGATTGATACGTTGAGACCAAGGGAATGTTTGAGCCTCACCAGTTCTGGATGGCGCTGGCAGCAGCACACACGGCGGCTGCTCCTTGTGCTCTGTGAGCCATGCCACCTGCTGGGGGGCGCATCCCTGCCCCCAGATGAGGAGGAACGCTGCCATGCAACTGGCTCCCTGCTGCTGCCGGGTTCATGCTTCCTCCCAGTCCTGCGCTGCAGAAGTTGGCGCCGGGCAGAGCGCTGCGGTTAGGCCTCACAGGATAAGCTCCTAGAGGGGTGGCAAGGGGGGAAGACGGCATTGTTCAACTGGTTCGTTCATGAACCGCTATACAGACCTCCTGTCAGCAGGTACTTAAAGGTCACTCACAGAGAAGAGGGAGAGACTTAGGACCTGTGCTAAAAGTCAAAGTGCCTGGATAGGAGCCATGTAATTGCGTTTTGACACAGCTAAGGAACAACACCGAGTCTAAAGCTGTCTGGCACTCTCCCAAACTTCAGCCAACCACACTGAGCTATACAGTACAGCACAGGATGTAAAAAAGCCTCTAAACCCTTTCCAAAACATAGAACGTGTGATTTCCTTTCCCTGCGTAGCGAAATGGCTCTTTAACACACTGGAGGTGCTGCCTGTATCTTTCTAAGTGAGAAGGAGAGATGCAACGGTTAAAAGTACAGCCAGTCCTGAGAGCAATGTCGTTCATGACTCCCAGCATAATACACAGAGCACAGGTTGTTCCAGCTCACGAGGAGTGGACTGTTTTGCATTGCCTGTGGGCGAAGAAGAATCAAATCAAAATGCTTCCTCCAAAGACAAGATGTTGCCTCCGACTGAGGCCTTTCCCATTCGCTGCACACGGTTCCCCCTTGAGAAGCTGCCCATGCCTCACCTTGAGGGCTGTGCTGCCCGGCCTGGGGTCTGTGGCTTCCCGTGCAGTTCTGCTGATATGGCCCCACTGCAGCGTGCATCTGTCCTCCAGAAGGCAGATGGAGAAATAAGGCTGAGCCGGACTGGGAAGAGCTGTGCTGTGGCATCTGAGCATTCCTCTGCAAGTAACCTGGTCACCCAGGGAGAGGAGCAGGCAGTGAGTGAAGGACCCAGAGGTCCCACTGGACACGCGTGTCTTTAGTAACAACGGCCCACAGGGCCCACTGACAGAACCCTTCCAGCACCATCCCAGCCACATTTTGCAGTTGTTGCTAGTAGGGTGCCAGCATTACCCACTAAGATAACAGATTCCATTTCCTCTTTCACCCAACGAACATGCCTTCAGCCACCAAGGCTGAAACTCTGGGCTCATTTTCCCTTACCGTCACACAGGGAAATGAGACCCAACAGCGTCACAGCCACCCCTCGTTGGGAAGCTTAAGGTCACAGAGCTTGGAAAACCAGCAGTCATAGGAAAGTCTTGCCAAAGCCAGAGGAAACATCTTACAAGCCCAACTACTGGCCTGCATCGAACACTCAGAGGCCGAAGGACTGGCAACAGTCAAACGTGGTGCCAGGCGCCAGAACGCTTGCAGCAAACAGCGCTGGCACAGCCTCCAGGTGCTATCTCAGCACAGAATGCAAGTCATCAGGCTGGGCACTTCCCAGTTATGCACCCAGCTTCACAAACAGATTTGTACCATGAGCTCCAAACCCAACTCACATACCTGGGTCTTGCACAAAGCCTGACTGGTTGATGGAAGGATGCAGGACGCTGTTCCACAGCACACCGGGCGCTTGGGGCGGCACCGGATTGCCTGCACCAGACGGGTCCTGCAACACCAAGAGACAGATGAGCCACAAAGAAGGAGACGCCTTACTGTCAGTAACGTGCTATCCAGCAGCGCCATGCTGCTGAGAGGTGTGATTCCTGCGCATGGGAGGACAGAAGCGCAGAGTGCAGTGCTGTTCTCCACCTACCAAGTCATTTTCTCAGGATGCCAAACACCCAGGCACAGAGTGCTTTTCTAACTAAACCCTTCCAAAGGACACCTTCCAACTCTGATATCTACATTGATTGTGCCAGAAATGACACAACATGGGACCCAAAGGAGGGGGCAGGGGAGTTCATCCACCTCAGGGCTGGAAGTCCTGGCAGGACTGGCTCAACGGAGCCTGTTAGATCATGCTGGAAACAGCAAGGTTTCTCTTCCGTGACAAGGGGAACGACCACTGCACACTGCGTGCCACCAACATCAGGCTTGGAGCTCTGCACCACATCCTCCAGGTGCACAGAGACAGCACCACAGCTGCTGAGATGGGCACAGATGTGACGGAGAGCTCCAGGCACCGCCACCTTTCTGCTTAGGGCTTCACTTCCCTCACACTGCTTCCCCAATGGGAACCACAGGGCTTGGACTTGGGGAACAAAGCTTAAGCTGCAAAAAAATCCCCAAAACATCTACTTCTAACTCCCTCCAAACACAAAGTGCTTATCTGCGATCTCCCAAGTTTGTTCTTGCTGACAAAATGCATCAGAGCAGACTCTTGCCGTCTCTGAGCCAACGCAGCTCACCGAAGGCACGCTGCCAAGGGCCCACACGCCTGCAGACCTCATCTACCACCCGCTCCGCTTCACCTGCCACGCTCCAAAACCCCGACCAAAACCGTCAGTGCTTGACAGCACCAACAGAATACCCACTGGGTACCAGATCCAGACAGGAACAGTCCAAGGGATGAACATCTTTCAGCTCCCTCTGTTCTCCCACAGTCGGGTACCGACTAGAGGATAACAGGTCCTTCTTTACTGGCAGTCACTCTCCGAGCACCTATCGGCTGCACAAGAGCCAAAGGGCAGCAGGAGGAGGGACGTGTGCAGATGGCCACTGCACTACTAACACCTCTCTCCACACCTACAGCACTCGGAACTTCCAGTGATGTCACAAGCAGAGGCACGGATCCCAGAGCCCGTGTCACACAGCAGGGTGGGGTCCACACCAAAAAGGCCGATTTTTAAGGTGTCACTTCACCTGTTATTCATTCTCACTTCATACATGTGCGCCAATTGCACTCCTCCCCTTTCTCAACCTACCCAAGACAACTAAGACCCCAGCCACAGAACCATCTAGTGTGGTTCTGGAGTGGTCCTGTTGCATACTGCCGCAGGCCAGGAAGTACAGGGGTGAACGTACCCTCACTCCACCATAAAAGGCCACCAGATTGGTCAGGCACGATCTGCCCCTGGTGAAGCCATGCTGGCTGTCTCCAATCACCTCTGTGTCTCGTATGTGCCTCAACGTAGCTTCTAGGAGGATCTGCTCCATGATCTTCCCAGGCACAGAGGTGAGGCTCACCAGCCTGCACTTCCCTGGGTCTTCCTTTCTCCCTTCCTTAAAAATGGGATTCTTCAAAAACATTTCCCTTTTTCCAGTCACTGGGGACTTCACCAGACAGCCGTGATTTTTCAAATATGATGGAGAGCAGCTCGGCAACCACATCTCTTTCAGAACCCTGGGATGGATATCATCCGGCTCCATGGACTTAAACACGTTCTATTGCATGAGGAGGACTTGGACTTGTTCCACTGTTACAGTGGGACACAAACCCCTCCCCACACCCTCATCTGGAGGCTCCCGGTCTTGGCAGACACGGGAAGCCTGACTACCTGTGAAGACTGAGGCAAAGCACTCATGGAGCACCTCAGCTTTTTCTATGTCTGACGAAGCCAGCTCCCCATAGCCTTTCATCAGAGAGGGAACACTCTCCTTGGCCTGCCTCTTTCTTCCCATGTACCTGTAGAACCCCTTCTTGTTATCTTTCACATCCCTCACCAAGTTCAGCTCCATCTGCGCCTTGGCTTTCCTAATCCTATCTCTACACACACACACAACAGCCCTGTATTCCTCCCAGGATACACAACCCTGCTTCCACTCTCTGTGCGTTTCCCTCTTTTCCCACAGTTTAAGCTGCAGGTCCTTGCACAGCCACCACGGTCGCCTGCCTCCCCTGCTCCATTTCCTCTGCTGGGGGATGGAGAGCAGTTGCACTCTCAGAGGGATGTCCTTCAAGAGCTGCCAGCTCTGCTCTGTGCCCATGCCCTTAAGGACACATTTCCCAGGGGATCCCACTCAGCAGTTCCTTGAGCAGTTGGAAGTTTGCTCTCCTAAAGCACAGGGTCCTAACCCTGCTTTTTGGCAGGCCCGCGTTCCTCCAGATCACAAACTCCACCAAGGCACGGTCTCTACAGCCCGGGCTGCCTCCAATCTTAACCTCTTTGATGCTCTCCTCTGCATTAGTGAGCACCAGATCCAGTAAGGCTTCACCTCAGGTTGGTCCATCCACTACCTGGACCAGGAAGTTGTCCTCAACAGACTCTCCAGGAATCTCCTGCATTGTCTGCCACGCGCCACACTGCCCTCCCAGCAGGCATCCGGGTGGTTGAAATCCCCCATCAGGGCAAGAGCCCGCGAGCACGACACCTCCTGCAGCTGAAGCAAGAAGGTCTCATCAACAGGCTCCTCCTGATAGGGTGGCCTATAGCGGACCCCAACCACTGCATGCCCTCGGCTGGACCAATCCTTAATTTTTACCCACAAGCTCTCGACCCAATCCTGGCTGTTCCTCAGACGCAGCCCTTCACAATCCAGCTACTTCCTAACATACAGGGCAACTCCGCCACCCCTCCTACCCTGTCCATCCCTTCTGAAAAGCCTGTAGTCCTCAATCAGGGTATTCCAATCATGACATTCATCCCACCATGTTTCTGTAATAGCAATTAGGCCATGCTTTCCCAATTGTGCCACAGTTTCTAACTCCTCCTGTTGATTTCCCCACGTGAGCTGCAAGCAGTCCAGGAGACTCCCAGAGCCCACTGACAAGAACTTCCTGGCCCAGGTATCAGACAAACTGACCAGAGGAGAAGGGTTACTGGGCCAGGAGCTCACAGATTCAGAAGAGATCAATAAAGAGATTAAGATTAAAGGCAGGTTGGGCTGCAGCTACCATGCCCTGATCATATCTGTGACCTCAAGGAATATGTGCCTGGCAAAGAGCAGTCAGGACCCTGACCTTCAGCAGAGCAAACTTCAGGCTGCTTAGGGAGTTGCTGTACGAGATCCCCTGGGAAGTTGTCCTTAGGGACAAGGAACGGAGCAGAGCTGGCAGCTCTTTCAGGATGCTCTCTTTCTGAGAGCACAAGAGCTCTGCAACCTCCGGAATAAGAAATCAAGTAGAGGAGGCAGGAAACTGGCATGGCTGGGCAAGTACCTGCTGGTCAGACTGAGGGAAAGAAGGAATTACAGGCAGTGGAAGCTGGGCTGGGTGGCCTTGGAAGAACACAGAGGCTCTGTCACACACTGCCCGCACTGACTCGACTCTCCCACTGCAGACACTGATCACCATGATGAGATTCTCTCTCGGCCTTCTCTTGTCCAGACTGAACAGCCCCAGCTCTCCCAGTTTCTCCTCGCAGGGGAGATGCTCCAAGCCCATTATCACCTTTGTGGCCCTCCATTGGACTCTCTCCAGCAGTTCCCTCTCTCTTGCGCACTGAGGAGCCCAGAACCGGACATCGCACTGCAGCTGCGGCCTCACCAGAGGACAGCAGAGGGGAAGACGGCCTCCCTCCACCTGCCAGCCACGCTCTGCAATGCACCCTAGGATCCCATTGGCCTTCTTGGCCACCAGGGTACGCTGCTGGCTCACAGCCAACCTGTTGTCCACCAGGACCCCCAGGTCCTTCTCCACAGAGCTCCAGCCCCTGACTGTGCTCTTGCACGCAGTCCTTATTCCCCAGCTGCAAGACTCTACACTTGCCCTTGCTGATCTTCATCAGGTTCAACTTCAATCAATTTCCAGAAGAAATGGCTTAATATATCTTAATATATCTTCATTCAGAATAGTGTTGTCCTGATGACAAAACGTGTGTTTTCATTGTCTTTGATCACAAAAAGTCAGTACGGATTTTAGAAAAAAGTCTGTCTTGTTAATAATCAAATGTTAGTTTCTTAATGAGAGAGTCAAGGATGCCAAAGCATGTGCCAAAGCAACAGAAATGTTTTTGTAATACTGTGCAAGTCCCAAGGCTTTTGAATTCTTCTTTTGAATTCTCAGAAAGAATTCTGAGCAGTTTGGCCAACTTAGCACAAATGAACAGACTGCCACCAGGAAAGCTGGGTACTCCTTTGACAGAAAAGGTCTTTGGCAAATGTTCTAATTTTATAAAAACACAATTTACTCTAACAAATCTGAAAGAACATTCACAGCTGCCTGTAAAAACAATTCGTAGAGCAACTGATAAATTTCCAACCAACTCCACGACGAGGCTGTTAAGTTCAGCCCACAAATATTTAGCAGTCATAACAGACCAGAATTAAAACACTAAAACGCTACATCCCATTTCCATGGTGATAGCAGAGCAGCAACCATCATTTATACGGACTTAGTCTTTACTTATGTAAAAAAATCTACAACTAATCTAGTGTAAGATAAAGTATGTGAGAAATTCATAAATCATTTCCACATTCAGGATGCAAATCTGGAACATACAGCAAGTGAGTGAGCCTAGTGGAATGCTATTTAACCAAGCTGAAAGGAAAATCTTGAAGATGAATGACATTCATAGCGGAAAACACAAAAGGTTGGTACTCTCAGCTTCCTCCAGACTTGCTAAAAAAGAGAGAAAGTGACAAAGAGGAGACCAAGATCAGGAGATGTGCTTAAATCCTAGCAGCAATTGCAGCACTGCATACAGCCCGCAGTTCAGGTAACAGGCTGAAGAGCTACACAGCGCAGTGTGAATGCTGAATCTTCAAGTGTTTTCTGCTCCCCACTGTACAGCAAAATGTGGAGCCAATAACTTTTGTGAAGCTCATCTGAATATGTGTCCCATCTGATGCCACTGGCTTCAGCA